AAAATCAGTAAGACACTTGTACTATGAGCAGACAAATACAAAAGAGGAAGATTTGGGAAGTGGAGTTGTTTTTCATCTTTTTAAAGGTTTAATCTCATGTTTTCAAATTTCCAAAGACATATTTTGAGTAGTAAGCAAAAAGGATTGTTTCAAATGCAGCAAGAGGAAGAACTGCTTCTCAAAAATTCATAAGTGGCTACCGATGGCATAAACTTATTTTAGACATATTTACATAATATATATGGCTATGTATCTTTAGTGCTTTTATCATGGATTCAGTCTGCAGCTCTAGACATGACCATTTCCCTGTTTCTGCCTCCCTGATTGTGTATGGTGACTGCATGGGACTGCTCTGTGTATTACATTTTTATGGGGCTTTAGGAGTAGAAATTGTCCTTGATTATTAATGTAAAAATGTTAACAATTGATGTCTTTACCAATTAAAATGGAGTTTCATTGCTTACCTGGCATCAGACAGGAGTCAGCCTGGCTGTGTCTGTTGAATCTAGCTTGCATGTAATGAGGCTTATGTAACTTACCCACTCCTCCATGGCTTTCTGACGTATACGCAGTTCTAGGTGAAGTGGCAGTAACAAGCCAGGAAAAGGCAACAGTTTAAACCGCCACAGTGTTTCAGCACTAAGTGATTTAAATTAAACCACAGGAGTGCACCTGTTTGGTTAGTACAAAACTGTATTTGGTATTTACTGATGCTCTGTGTGCCCTTTTTCTAGCAGGACATTGAATAATGTGAGTCACACCTACAGGGAAGACCCAAATACTCGTATTTTGTTTTATTTGCTTTTTGTAAAGAATAAAGAAGAAAACGGATTACATAATGGCAAAACAACAATTTAAGTCAATGGTCCAAATTTCTTCTGTAGCATGTTAGTGTTTGATAGTGGTTGCATTTGGAATCTGTGTCCTCCCTTCTGTCCTTGCTTGCTATATTATGTATTCTCTACAGAAAACCCTGTGTTCGTCTGGGTAATAAGTTGCCTTTAAAGTTTGCAAAATGTATTTGATGGCAAAGAAATTATAATTTGATCAGTAGAATCCCTTGTTAGGATGATCTTGGGATTCCTAACCTCCACATGGCTATTTGAGTCTCTAAGCAGGTCACATCTTGGATTTAGGTCATTAGTTTTCTTTTTAAGCTGACAATCTCATCAAGCTGCTCCTTTTAAGCACTGCTTCTCCCTAAGGGCAACCTTTCTGGCTGTCCTTGGAGCAAGTCATTTAAGACTAGACATGCAGCTTATGTCCCTTGACAGCCTTTTGAAATGCTGGGGCTTCAACAGCACACAGTTTACAAGCTTTCTGTCTTCCTTCCTTTCTAAACAGGAGAGCAGTTACTGCTGTCTCTCATTTACTTCAACAGCCGTGTTTCTGTTAATTCCCTCATAACAGTTCCCAGTTGGGCAGGTTTTATATATTTATTTATTCTTACCTGAATGATATTTCAGTAAGAGCAGAGACATGGCAGCTAGCTCTGCTGTTGTTTTAATGAGCTGTGCTCTCTGTCCAGCCACTGATGGATTGTAAATCATTAAAACAGCTCCCTGGTAAGCACTCGGAGCATATTTCATCTGGGTTTCATTTTTTAATGCAGTCATAAGTGAGCTGTACATTCCATAAGCACATACGAGTGCTATGGCAACAAGAACTAGGAGGCTTGCAAGAACTGCATGGTATTCACTGAAGCAATATTTTCACCCACTTGTGGTGACAACAGCCAACATTACTTTTGGCCGTGTTTCCAGTGAGACATGTACCAGCACTCTTGCTGGTACAAATATTTGTTTACCCCTTTATTCAAGATCTGCTCTGCCATTATCAGTTCTCCTCTTCCAATTGTAGAAGGAGCAAGGTTTATTGGATGCAGTGTCTTGCGAAACTCATTTAATATAAGAAAAGTACAGCTGTATAGAAACTTTTCTAGTGGGGCATTAATACTGCCATAGTCAGATGAAGCCTGTGAAGTTAGTAAGCTCTTTCATGTGCTTAAAACGGGGCTGAACTGCTTTTGTAGCAGAGAGATGCTGCGTGGGTTTTTTTTGTTTGTTTGTTTTGTTTTTTTGGTTTGTTTTTTTTTTTGGTGCTCTGGTTGGGGGACCAAGCTGTCTCTGACCTAAGATTATATTTTGGTTTAGTGAATTTCAAAGCTCACACTGGCTTCTGAGGAAACAGGATTAATGTGTATCTAAGTTGGTCCTGCTCATGCTGCGGTTCTGCAGTGTAGGTGAGCTGTTAACGCACATCTCTGTACTGGTGCTCTCGGTTTTGGTGAGGGTTAGGGTAAGCTCTTTCCATGCTTGGTATTGATTTGGATATAATGGAATTCTAACTGGGATAGCAGCAGCATTTCACCAGCCCCAGATGTTTGTGCTGGGGGCAGGAATCTCTCCTCAAGAGGAAGGATGAACTTGACTTAATAATCTCAATGTGTACGAAGATGAGGCGTTGATTACACAGTAGTTGTAGGTGTAATGTGAAGGGATTTGGAAGAGGATGTTCTCCTGGCTCTGCTTACGTGCTCGTTCTTGGTTACAGTCCCCATCTGTTTGGCCACAGCTCTGCTGCCAAGGTTCTGCCCACTCAGACTTCCTGATGAAGCAGCTCAGGAAAGCTGATCAGTCACACCGAACCAGGTGTTTTGTTCATCTTTCCTATTTGTTTCATTTTCATGGAATCCATGAGCTTTCATGGCACCTGCTTCCCATGAAAAAGCTGGAAGAACCGTATCCTTCAATAGGCAGAGAGTGGGGGTGGTAACTTCCCAGATCATGGCAGGTGGAAGAAGACGTGTACAAATCTTAATGAACTTAAGGTTAAATTTTCAGCAACAATTTCCAAAGTCAGGGAAATACAGCCACTGTGGTGGTATTGAAGATTTTCCAAAGAGTTCCTTTTCTGAGGTGGGCAGGAATTCAGGTGTTGCATATATTCTGAGAAAGAGTAATGTTTTGGGGGTGCTTTGCGTCTCTGAGTCTTCGAGTAGTTATGGTGGGGAGTCGACAGTAGACATACCTCAATGAAGGAGGCCGTTTGGTGAGGTAGGAGTTGGCTGCTGAGCTGCTGGTTCAGGTAATAATAGTGGCTGCTCTGAATTTTTGTAGCTCGTTCTACAAGAGTACTTTAGGAAAACGTCCTTCACCCATTCTGATGAAGGGAAAGGGTTGGAGGGAGTATTCTGTGGTTATCCTGGAAGTTGGAAGTGTGGTGTCTGTTTTTATTTCTTCCATAGGCTTTGGCAAATGATTTAGCCTGCCAGCTGCTTAAGTTTGAGAGAATATTCTTTTAGTACCATTTGGCCTGACATTGCCATTTCAGGGCGACTGTATAAGCAATTGTTTCCCAATTACAACTCAAACCTCTTGATAGAGAGTAGGTAACAGGGTTGGCAGAAAGACCTTTTGGATAACAGGATTCTGCCTTTTCATTGGTAATGTAACTGCTGTGGCTGCACCACCCAATACTTAAGGCATAGAAAGGCTCAGGACTAAACATACTCTGTTTCTGTTCAGTGATGTCTTAACTGAAGATGTTAACCACAGTCATTAACTAGAAGATATTCCCTCCCTGTACACACTCCTCAACACATAGGTTCTGGCCAAAGGCTGGTTGGAGACCATGCATAAATTTTTCTTTGTAAAAATGGGAAGTAACAGCCTTGCTGATCCTGGAGGATATTGAGACATTTAATTTATTAATGCTTGTGAAAGAATCAAAGTTATGTAGATAGGAAGCTGCGTCTATAACGACACGGTGGTGTGTTTTCCTGTTTTCCCTGTTTGTTTCAACGTTCACTTGCACTAAAAATGTCTGCCCTCTCAGAATCATCTCTGCAGAGAAGGCCATCTCTCTGAAGACTATATTTATTACTTGAACAGAAAAGGAATTGTCTGTCAGCACAGCCTTTTCTTCTGTTTTTCTTCTCCAGCTGAGAGACAATAGGCATAATCTCAGAGAAAATAACTCTCAGCAGAATTTACCATTAATTTGGTTTCCTAATGACACATAACTTCTCATCCACCTTTCATTCAGTGCAGGTAAGAGGTAAATTTCAGGAAACTGAATTTTGCAAGTATCTGTATGTAGCGAGGAGGGTTAGTTTTCTAAGAAAAGTATTTGCTTTTACTGAAGCTTTTTGGGTACTGTGTTCATGTAAGTGAAAGCATTACACTGGAAATGTGAGATGTATTTTAAAGTATTTGAATGGCTAAAGAGAGAGCCAATTTAATGTGCATTATTTAAATGTCCCTTTAGCTTTTTATCATTAGTGTTCATTTTGGATTTCACTGTGTCATCCTGTATTTGAAGCATAAATGGGCAGAATAGCCTAAAATATGTGGATATTGAAGTTGCATAAAGATGTATGAGTGATAATATCATAGTATTATGTGGGAAGTAATTATTCCTATGCTCCTTGTAAAAGAGTATGTGAGTTTTTGAATCCATTGTGAACAAAAGGAAGAGGGGGAGGGAGGAGCAGAAAGCCTGGAGTTGGTCTCTATTGATATAACCTGATTAGGACAGTGTATGGTCTTGTTAAAGGTCATGAGATGTGCGTACACTGAGTAAGTGTTGACAGAAAAACAAATGCTGCCGTTATTATGCTGAGATTGTCTGATGCCATTTGATTTATTTTCATTTCTAATTTCATTGAAATGACACATAAGCTCATCAAGCCAAAGGCTGACTTTTGCAATGCTTACGTTTTGCCTGAGACAATGGGACATCGATCCATTTCTCAGCTTATGATTCTGCAACAATCCACGTAATTACAGGTAATAAGGGAGTAGTACATGAGCGATATACTTTTGTAAAAGTAATTTGTATGTGAGCTACCTAATAATTTCTGAGCATGCAAGTGCTAAGTATCATTAATATTAAACATGGCTGTTGTTCTGCTTGCGCTAACATTTTGTTCATTACTGCTATTGTATTAAAAGCTTTTTTTGTTGTTTTTTGTTTTGTATGTTTTATTTCTTTCTTAGGCTCAAAATGCACAGCAGCTCCATGAGAGGATCCAGTCTTCTAGTATGGATGCAAAGTTAGAAGCACTGAAAGACTTAGCCAACTACTCGCGGGATGTTACATTTGCCCAAGAATTTATAAACCTAGATGGCATTTCCCTCCTAACACAAATGGTTGAAAGTGGCACAGAGTAAGTAGTCTGCTTAAACTCTGACATTCCTCCTGCGTGGGGTGCTTTCCTGCTCACTCTCAGAGTGCCTGAAGTATTTCTGTATACACCTTCTAATACTTTATTAAAATAAAACATCTGAAGAGTTCTGGGCTGCTAGGATTGCATATCCATTATCGGTGAGAACGTTTTTTTTTTTCGTTTCCCCTAATAATGGGCTGGTGAGGATTGGGGTTGAGCAAAATAGGAAGTCACAAGTACTTTCTGTGCCATGAAATTTTTGGGAGACTGTGGTCCTACTTTCTTCTCTAGCCATTTAAATTTAGGTAAATCATTGACAGTATGTTTAAAGGCTGATATTTAAGTGATGCCATCTGAAAACTGTTTTAAATTTCACGTTATTGAGAACATATGGAGAAAAATCCAGTGCTTACTTTATTTCCACTTTTATTGTTTTAATTCTGGATGGGGTTTTTCAAATGACAGTGGCTTTTTGACAGGAAATTGAAAGCTGACCTCTGGAAATGCATTTATTCTTTACCAGAACACCATGCTGATTGTCATCATTGGTGAAACTCAGGACCATGGTCCTGAGTGTCTATTGGCTTAACATGGAGGATGGTACAGAAAAGTGTCAACTGGATTGTTGCACTATTAAATGATGTTCTGACAGTTACTGTTTGAAGTAGGCTTTTGCTTTCAAGTGAGAGTTTGAGTCCTTTGCAGTCAGTGTCAATCTCTACTACTCATGAAGGAATCAACAATTCCCATACCCTTTCCTGAGACAAGGCTCTGAAGATGCTCTGAAAGTAGCTTTCTTATTCATTGGGGGAGTTCAGTCTTGTCGACCAGATTTCAGAAGTCAATTGCCAAAATCAGTTCAAATCCCCTCTCAAATGTGCATGTGTTCCCTTGGATTTAAGGAAGTAAATACTGTTAGGGGATAAAGCAAAAATAGGAAGTCGGCTTTGAAATGGAACACAAATTGTCTCTGACGGTCCTACAAAAGATATACTGGGGATTTTCCACAGAAAAATTAGGAACTTTAGAAACCAGTAGTCCTAAGTTTGAAATGTAAAGCCACACTCTCACTGGTCCAGGCCTGTTGTGTGGTCAGTGGTTTATTGGACTTTGAATCCCTATTGTCTAACTAGCTATATATTGTATTTCCAATAGTTCATGGTTTCATCTTTAGTATTTTGGGGTTATGGTCCTTATTTTCTGCAGTGGTGCAGTCTGTGGCACATACTATGCCACTTAACTAGAAGCATTTTTTTTCCCTGTATTTTTTTAAATCAAATTTGTCAACATCGCTTATATTAATATAATATTTGTGGTTTAGGGACCAAATCAAATCTAAAACCAAAGATAGGCTTAAGTTGATGGAAACATATGCACACAGTTACTGTACTAATTAAAAAATATACTGAATGTGCAGGCTCATGTGTGCCTGTGAAGATCAGAACATAAGCAAATTAAAAGTCACTACCTCCTATAGTGTATTTTTCATTAATTTATTTAGGTTAAATGGCTTAAATTAGCATGGAAGATACTGAAACTAAAGCACTTCATTTTCTGTTTAAACAGACAGGGAACATTCACATTTTTTACAAGCATTTTTTAGCTGCATCAGGGTTAAAGCAAGTGCCCTCCTCACCCTTCAGCTGTGTCTGTACTGCTGTTTTGTAACTGTGGCAGACTGGTCTGGAGTAAAAATAACTATTTGGGAAGGAAACTACTTAAGCCAGCACCCCTGTTGAAAGAACTGCTCAGCAAATTACACCCTAGTAGTAATTCCTGGCCGAGGGTCTGGGTTTTCAAACCACACAGCAGGCCTTGTAGACTGAGCATATGAGCGGAGTCCAGTGCCTTTTTTTTTTTTTCTTTAAAGTAGCTTGCATTTGGAGGGATTTCAGGGTTTTTAGCTGGTGTAACGTATCACCAAAGATGCATTGATGGATCTACCCGTCTAATGTATTTATCAGTGTTTCTGCCTGTGGGGAGAAATGCTGTCTAGTTTGGGCATTGTGCAAAGATTCTGACTGTAAGACTTTCCAGCAGCTTCATGTTTTGATGAACTCTAAAGCAACAAATCCTAATATACATAGACTCAGCAGCCTAAGCCTGCCACGGTGCTGCTGCTTTTCTTTCTCGTCAAACTCCAAGCTATTAATCCCGCCCTCCCTCTTCAGGGTCTGTCATTCATTGCTCTTTCAGCTCACTAAGCCAACAGACAAACTGCTTCCACAGAAGCAGCATGGTTTTGTTTTGGTTTTTGAATTTATTATTACAACAAAACAGCTTCCTAAAATGGCCTGTGAGCAAACAAGGTATGTGTGTGGGAGGCAAAGGTAATATATGAAGGAGAGAGTGGGACAAGGACAGCCAGCTGTCAAGGGAAGGCAACTGGAGTCAGTCAGTTGCCCTCTTACGTTCTCTATTGCTGTTTTGGCTTGGACCCTCTGCGATTCTGTTAATGCAAGGGTCTCACAAGATGCTTGCTGAACAGACAAAGCAAGCTGAAGGCCTCCTTGCATTAGCTCCCACTCTGGGCTGTGTGTCCTTGGCACTGGGCTGTGCCAGGTTACCAAAATGCTTCACACCAAAAAGTTGTTCTTCCTTCCTTTTCCCTGCCCCAATGTCTGCCACTTTCTTTTCCCAAAGGGATTTTTTATTCTAATTGTTTCAGTATCTGTAGGTAGACCTACCCAAACAATTCTATTAGCAGTATTAGAAAGGGGGCCAGTATTAGAAAGGGGGCCAGTATTAGAGGAGGAGTGAGCAGCCAGAAATTTCAGGGAAGGGTAGAAACTTCTTGGATGGCCCAATTTTAAAGGCAATATATTTTGCAAAGGGACTCTTAAGGTTTATCTTCACTGTGGAGTTCTTAACCCACCTTTGAAGTACTGGTGTTGAGCCAGCCTTGCTCCGTGAGGCTCAGCCATAAAAATGGCTTGGTGCTGCTAAGAGATGGTCCAATTCCCTGCCCTTTTCTCCCAGTCCTTATGTGTTAACCCTGGCTTTCCAGCCCAGTCCTGCTTCCTCCCAGGAACTGGTTCTGGTGTCTGGATTCTTTGCAAAACAAATCCAGTTTGTTAATTTGGCTGAAAAGTATCCAGAGTTATTTTCTGCTCAGTTTGAGACCTGGGGAAGCGAGAGAGGAAGTGGGCATGAGTGGATGCAGAAAAGTCCCTCTTCTGTGGCCACAGACCACTCTACATCGGGATAGGTGAGTCATTGAGCCACAGCCGGAGAGCACGTGTGTTGTGAGATAGCGTGAGGGTGGCTGTCTCTGCTCTGGTGTTGCAACCTGGAGACTGGCACTGAGACCGTGAGGGGGTCGGAGGGGATGGGACGTGCCCCTTGGAGCGGCTGCTGCTGCTCTGCCAGGAGCCCTTCTGTGCGCATGAACCCTTTGCTGGGTTAGTGCAGCTGAGGACAGCCCTGCATCAGCAAGCCCAGGCTGAGTGGTGCCTCTGTTCACGGTGTGGTGCAGCTGTGCTAGAAATCGATGAATTTTGTTAATTCAAGCTTTATTCTCTGTTTTCTCCAAAGGGGCAGACAGTGGACATTGAAAGTGCTGTCATGCTCGGTGTAAGGTCGCTCTGAGGTTTTCACTGCGCGTGGAACTCATGTTAGGGGCAGCTCTTAATTATACACCCAAATTATAACTTAAGTTTTAGTGGGCAGCCTCTGGAAAGCAAGACCCCAGCTTTTTATATAACTTTCACTGAGGAAGAGGTCTATGCTTCATTTATAGTTGGCTTTATTTATTGTGCTACTTACTCATTATTTCAGTGAAGCGGATGACTGTGGAAGTACAGTGACCAGAATAAGAGACTGTAAATCCCTGCATTTCTAGTTACCTCCACTCCATTTTGCTGGTGATGAAAGAAGTAATACAAAAAGTTGACAGGGACTAGCAGTGTTTTCTAGTTAATTTTCCACATGTTATTTTCCTGAATATTGAAGAAAATTGGAGTGTGTTAGAGAATAGTGTTTCCAGTTTCTTGCTGTTAATATAACTTGAAAAATAAGATTGAGAGAGTGTTGGGGTTTTTTTATTTATTTTGCATACATTTTCAAAAGTGATACAATACTATGTGTAGTTGCTATAACTTGGGCCAGATCTCCTTGAGTGCTTGCTCCTTAGAGCAGAAGAACTGTAGACATGGTGTGTGCTGGGACAAAGCCGTATCGGTTGGCGGTAAGCAGTTAGTTGTAGGGTGCATGAGGCCCTAGTGAAGCTGAGAGTGCATCTTGTCAATATGAATGTATTTACATGAGCAGAGATGCAACATGTCTTAGAAACTGTCCACATATATCTCAATCCTGTTGATGGAGATGGCTCATCTTTGTTTTTCCTTCAGGCTCATTCTTGCTTCCAGAGCATACTATGAGTCTCTTATTAGCAGAAGAAAAAAAAGGAAAGCTGTTTTTAAGTTTTATTTTTATGGTTCAGGTGACCTGTGATTTATAGCAGAGATTGCAAGACAAGATCGGTCATGAAGAACAAGTAAATGCTGATTCCATTTTATTAATATGCATGATGTCCAATCATTTTTCGGACGCTGTGCATCTGTGTCACCAAAGAAGGGGTGTGTGTCTGCACACACAGTCATTTTCATTTTCAGAGACTTTTCAGTACTTCTTCAGAGAAAAAATATCAACGTTAGCTCAGTTTGTGCCTAGTTAAGGGGAGGTGAATATGCAGTCCGCTTGCCTGGGATGTATACACCCTCCATCCCCAATGCAGTGCCCTAAAATGAGGCAAAAGGAGAGCAATGCTAGAATTTCTTAGCTACCATAACGTCTCATCAAAAATGTGTTCAGATATCAAACTGGAAGAAACAATATTGTCCTCGCTATCCCATCTGAGATAATGTGGTTTGCTCCTTCAGAGCTGTATTCTATAGTCTAGCCCAGAATTAATCTTTCAGAAAGTCATGGCTGTATAGGTAATCTTTCTGATGTAGCAGAAGACTGGTAAAGGTGTCGAGTGGGTTTTTTTTCTTGCTATA